ATCTTATGTTGGCACTTGCATGGCACCCAATCCCCCAACATCATCATCATCAGAGTCCTCACCTTCTCGTGTTTTAGGCTCAGTTTCGTTTTGCAAAGGATCTAGACCCTGTTGCTTCCGCCGCCGGGCAGACATCATCTGTGGATCCTCCACGATTCTCCATCTTCCACGCATCTTGTAATAGAGCTCGAATTCACGAGAAGTGCCGGCCTTCGTGAGCCCGTTGGCCAATTGTGCTTCGGAGTGAACCCACCTGATCTGGAGCTCGGTGTTCTGCTGGGAGGCTTTCACGCTGAGCAGCTCAATGTTAGCACGTTTTTCCGCGCCTTTGATCACTAACACCTCTGTGTTCAGCTTGTCGTACACATTGCGGGAGTCGGAGATGAGGTAGCCTGGGGTCTGCTTGACTGTGGTCTCAGGGTCCCTGATGTTCACGTTGCCGTAGAGCATCTCTGACCACTGGTACCTGGCATAGTATAAGGAGTCATCTCCATTACATGCCGCTTGCACCTCTGCTGCTCCTGGGGATCTGCAGGCTCGGTCGATCTTGCTAGAATGCCAAGCAATCGGGGTGACCTCGGTCACCTCGCCCTTGGCCAGGGATAATGGCGCCATTCCAATAAAAATCCCTTGTGTGCTTCCCCCTTTTTGCCGGTTCTGGCTGGCCGCATCGACCCATGCGAAGAGAGCCAGTTCCGTGGTCTCAGGGAACTGATGGATCTGCATCGTATGCTGATGTCGAGCTTGTGCTTGTCGTAATAGGATGTTCGCCTTCTTGATGGTGTGGACCGTGCCTTGGCTGGTCTCGGACAACAGCAGGGACACCTCTGCTGACAGGTGTGGTGCCACCTGTTGTGCGTTCCAAGAAAGCGCACCAAGCAAGGTGCGCAACTGGGTTCTTTCCCAGTCCGTGATGGGTTTCCCATCTTCCTTCCGTCTGGTGGCGCTGAGGGGAATCTCTTTCACCTCAGTCGCATAGCCGGGCTGAGACAAGGAGAATCCCTCCTTGTTCTTTTCCACGCGAACGCCGCACTGTGTGAAGACATCCGTCTCCCAATCACCCCACTTGAACTTCTTCTGGATAGCGTCGAGGATGGCCGTCCACTGAGCATCTTCTGCGCTGCCCATGAAGAGGAAATCGTCCACGTGTCCGCAGATAGCTCCTCGTAGCACGCCATCCACTCTCCAGTACCACACGCAGGGGTCGGACCAAGAGCGTTCTAAGCCTAGACCCTTCAAAAAGGTATCAACCGACTTATACCACTCTAGCGGCGCATCCACTAAACCGTAGCAGGCCTTCATGAGCTGGGTCACCGATCCCGGCGGCAGGTTCATGGCTTCCAGGATTTCAGGACACGGCACGCAGTGGAGGCGGTCCGGGTATTCGCGTCCCTGAAGGAACGCTCCAGACACATCTCCTTTCTTGACTGTCCACTTTTTCCAAGCTGCATATTGCAAAAACATCTGTCTGGTTTGGCGTGTCATCACTGGAGACGTAGTTGAACGGTGTTCGTACGCCGGGTCCTGATAGCCTAATAAGACAGCTCGCGCCTTTGCTTTCCGTGTCCCATCTTCTTTTAGTTTCCACGTCAGAATCCATCTCATTCCCACGGCTTGGCTTGCCGAGGGCTGGAGGTGCTGAGGAAGACTCTTGAAGGCCTCCGCCGCGATGAAATTCTTTACCTCCACGGCCTTTGCATCTCGAAACTGTGCCTTCTCCGCGGGGCTGAGGTGTTTCTCACTGATCTCAACCGCCTTCCTCTTCATAGCGCCCACGAAGTAGGTCTCCAGGTTCCCGCAAAAATCTCGGCGTCCTCGGTTAGAGTCGGGAAGGTCAATTTCCACTGCCACGGCGGTGTTGTCGCGCATCCAGTACTCCACTGGTTCACAGCTCCACGCGTGTTCTGTCACGCGCTCCTGCCATGTCTCCGTACAGAAGCCGGCCTGTAGGTTCTCTCGTTGCCGAGGGCGCTGAGGTGGCGGTTGTTGCTCGTCATCCATCTCGTCAGTGACCGCGGGAGCTTCCGGTCGCTTGTGCCGAATGCGACGAAGTGGGGGCGGTGCCTCCTCGTCCACATCTTGGGCTCTCTGCCACTCCATTTCCTCCGGCACTTCCTTGGACACATCCAAGTACTGGTTGCCGCCCAGTTCTTCAGCGACCTTGGTAAAGGTCCATGGAACCTTGATGTCCGCGCTCAGCTCCTCAATGAGGGATTCCCTTTCTGATGCCCGCCGTAGCTGTTCCGGACAACATTTGATGAGCTGCTTACCCCGAATGCACCACACGGAACTCCCGGGTCGTAGGCGCCCCCCGCCGGGTTTCGGTGGCGAGCACCCGAGCAGGGCCAAGGAAGCGTCCATGCTTCCCCCCCGGAGCCCTCCGGTGTTTGTTGGACTCCTGGCTTCTCCAGAAAAACACCAGCTCACCTGGCACGTAGTCGTAGGCCCGTCTGGGGCGGGAATGTTTCGCCCTGAGCAGCCGCTGGCGGGCATGCCATTCTACATGCGCGCGCTCGGCGGTGGCTCGTCGCTGAACATCACGTTGAAACTCCCCTTCCGCGTTCTCGACCAGGAGGTCCGGTGGCAGCTGATGTCCATCAGGGACAAACCTGTCCGTGTCGTCCGCATTTCGGCCGAGGGCCAATTGCGCTGGAGTAAACCCACGAACTTGTTCTCTATGATTGTGAACACTCTGATGGCTCCCGCTAGGGCCTCATCCGCTGTAATAGCGGGCTCGTCGTCGTGCAGCTTGGAGAGCACCTCTTTGATGCCCTGCACGGCCTGCTCAATTGATCCAATCTTCCAATGTGCTTCTGCGGGGGCCACATCTAAAAAGATGCTATGCTTATCACAGAAGCTCTCCAGGGCTTGGCTGCGGAAGGCTCCAGCTGGGTCCACACGAAGCGTTCTCGGAAGACCAAAGTACTGGATCCAGCCTTCCTGAAGATAATTCAAAAATGTGGTGGCGGAAGGCTGCTGCTTTGAGCCTCGGGATAATATCCGGGCTGTCCTGAATCTCGTGTTCTCATCTATCATGACAAGAAATTGCACATGCTCTCCTGTAGTAGGGTGGTGCCAGTGACCCACATCAGCAGACAACGTATGCCACTTGGGTGGCAAGGGTTCTAGAGAGGCCAGTTGCCTGGGCTGGACCCTCTGTTTTTCATGACAAACACTACACCGAAAATGCTTGGCAGCCTCAAGAACTTCGGGGGCTGCTCCTCTTCTCTTGAGGGCATCAATCAAGTGCCGCACACTGCCGTGCCCGGTCGCAGCGTGCAGAAGGTACAACTGCTTATGAATCCAGGCCTGCTTTTTCTCCTGAGGGCCTCTCGGACCCCCAACTGCCATTGCCTCTTCTCGAGGCTGTTTCGCTTCACTGGGAATCGGAAAACCACATGCTTGCAAACGCGCTCTTTCAGCACTGGACATGTCTGACACTCCTCTCACTGTGTAGGCAGACAACGTGATTCTCTCCCCGGTCCACGGGCACACACTGTGCCAGGCGTCTGGAAGGAATTCCACTACCCGATGGTGGGTGTTCCGATTAGTAACCTCTCCCGTATCCTTCCCTTGCACCGCCAACTCCCCTCCCTGGTACTGCCCGAATCCACATGTGTAGTTCTTACTGCCCTTCTGATTGTGAAGATCCCGGTGCCATGGCACCGGGTTGTTGTAGCTTATCACGAAAGACGTCCAAGTGGCCTTGGGGTCGGCGTGGCTCCGGAGGAATTGATTCACATATCTACACAACTGCTCATGTCGTTGGGTTCGTCTGCTCACTCCAGAAAAAGGGCCATGGGTGTACGCTCCGAACTGGTAGTAGGGTGGTCTTGTGTCGGTGCCTCCCATGATTCCGCGGCCTTTCTTGGGCAGCTGCAGTTGTATCCTTTGGAGAAAGTGTTCCATGTCCTTGTAATTCAGTGAGGCCTTTTTGCTCTTCTGGTAGGCTTCCTGCTCCATATCCCTGGTAGCACTACATGTTTCACTGGTCACCAAACTCTCTTCTCTCCGCTCCTCTTCTTTCTCAAGCACACAAGCAGCACAGGTTTGTCTGGTACTAGCATGACACGTCATGTCACACACACACACACAAGCACTCCCACCCCCAAAGAGGTCCAAGGTTTGAGGGACTCCCTGACATTCCTGTTGCACCCCATACATACTCAACTCCTGTTGTGCTCCCATGGTCACCAACCTTTGGTACTCCTTCGTGTAGTTGGCTCCTGTGGTGGACGCGGTTCCTTCACACTTCCCATGAACATACTTCCCATCACACGTGCAGGGTTTGTGGAGCAGTTCGGACAAGCGCGCGTGTGTGGTCATCACCCGCCACCCCTTCTGAATCAGGCGCCCCTCCTTGTCCCTAAGGTTCACCCGACATCCTTTGGTGGTGGCGAAATGCGGTTCGTACCTTTTGATCAAACCCTGAATCAAGGGCAGTCTCCAAGCATCACTCTTCTCAGCAAACTCCAGCACAACATGTATACCCTGCTGCACACAGTAATGCCAGATCACACAGCATCCTACGTAAGTCTTAAGGGCTTCTTGTCGTTGCTTCCCAAGCTCTTGTTTCTGGGCTTCCGTTCGTTGGTTTGACCTTTGCATGGGGGAGAACGGACTTCCGGGAGGGCTCAACCACACCATGTTGGGCCTCAAGGCTTCAACTTGTTCAAGCACGAGATGAACACCCTCAGACCTACCTAGGTCGCTCGCGCTCCACAGAGGGCAACTCACTGCTGCAGTCTCACTACCCGTCGCACGTCGCACTGCTTCGGCCAAGACTCCCTCTTTTTCACAAGTCACTTCCATGAGCAAGGGTCGTTGATCTTGCATCAAGCTCGAAAACAACTTTGGCACTGCGTTCCAAGACTCCGTTTCCAGAACTCGTGCCGCGCCCAAGGAAAGAGGGCGGGGCATCTCGAGATCTTTGCAGGTGTCTTCACCCAGCATTGCCTCAAAAACTGTTTTTTCGGTCCTTGATCGTGTAGCTGATGATGTCACGGGTCCATCACCACTGCGTAGCTGTTCTCCGTTGTCCCAGCCTCGGAGTCCTCCTTCTTTTTGCGTCGGGGTTCCTCCACATTCTGGTTCTCGCGCAACTGCTGGATCTCTTCCTTCATTGCCATCATTGTCTCCATCATGATCTTCATCTGGTCCGCCTGGTTCTTCTGATGGTCGCCGGCACTGCTGGAAGCGGCAGGTGCATCCCCGCTGGAACCTCCCCCGCCGGAGGTGTTGATCTTCTCGTTGTAGCCCTTGCCAGTCTTGATGCCTTTGGCCTTCGGTGGCGCCCATGCCTTGGGAGCCGCTCGTGCCGGTGTCTTGGCTGCCGGGTGGCTGGTCGCCTTCTCCTCCTCGACGTCCTCGTCCGGCTGGTTCATCAGCCATGTGCCCAGGCGGATCAACCGGTAGTCGCAGGAGTTTCCTCCCTCGAGAAGGGTCTCTTGCACCCAGCGAGAGTACTGGGGTTGTTCGCGGCGAACTTGTCCATACGTCATCGTCGAGAACTTGCCGAAGCCGACCGGGTCCAGCGCGTTCGCGATGGACACCTCGTAGATCACCTTGGTCGCTCGCTTCTGCAACATAGGTATCGTCTCGTTGCCCTGGAGCGTGATCTTGAGGCGCTCCTCGCAAAAGTTCTTCAACTGCTCCTTTTTCCGGCTCGCCTTGTTGAGGTCGCTGATCCACTGTCTCAAGTCGGTCTTCCGCGCATTGCCCACTGTCTCGCCTCCCAGCTCCATCAACTCTGTGAGGCGATCGCGCAGCTCCACATTGCTCCACTCCCGCGGTGCTTCCTCGCCCCTGGCAAGGATGGCCTCGCGAAGTTGTGCTTGGTTCATCTTCATCATAGCTCTCTGGTAGGCGTGGAGGAAGGGCCTTGTCCTGAGGCTGTGAGTCTGAGCTGGGATACGGGCTACTGGTGGCGGTGGTTGTCTGGTCGCTTCCCTTGCAATCCAAAACTGAGCATTCGACATCAACACTAGCCATCATAGCTTCATCATCATCATCGTGAGGACTCTGACATGATGCAATTCCCCTACCTGGTCTATACACTGTGTCCTCCCTTTTGACGCCAGGATCGTCATCCGGGAGGAGTTGTCCCTACAGGAACTCATCTAGAGAGGGAACAGGTTTCATAGCAAAAAGATCTGCTGTCAAATCCAGGAGCTGGTGGTCTGTCTGCGACCGCTTCAAGGGAACGACTTTACATGGATCGAGTGCCCTGAAAACAATCAAGTCTTTCTCGAAATCGATGAGCGCTTTCAATTTCCGAAGCGCATCAATGGAAAACAACACAGGGCCTTCTCCTTCATCCAATGCGTGCACCACGATCTTGCCTCGCTGGCCTGCCGCGTTCACGCCGAGGTGGATGGTGGAGAGGCACTGCCCTTCCGTGGAGTTCCCGAAGCCGAAGGTGGGGCGGTCCTTCAAGTCAACACTCTGCACTCTGTCCTCCCCGTAGCGCTCCACATTCTTCTTGAACAGCTGCTCGAGGGCTTTCACGGAGCCCAAGGTTCGAGTGGCTCCTCCGTCTACCACACAGTAGCCATCCTGGATAGCTTCCTGTGTCGTGGGCCCCGCCGTGAGCGCCTCTTCCTGCGTCTCCGCGTAGCAGACGAAAGGAGCCATCTGCTTGGTGCCGCCGCTGGTGGAGGAGCTCGAAGCTGCCACTGGGCAGTTGCGAGCTCGGTGCCCAATCTTCCCACATCGCAGACATGTCATATTGGAATCGTCCTTAGGTCCGGAGTCCTTGGGCTGGAAGTACTTCCGGGCCATCTTCACCTGGTGCTGCTTCTCGCGCGCCATCTTCAAGGTGCGCCTGGCTTCGCGCATCACCGCGTAGGCAGACTCAATCTCCGCCTGGTTCTCGGCCCACAGCGCCGAGCCTTCTTCGTTCAAGCTGTCCAGGTCGATGGCGGGCTCCTCGATCTCGGCATCGTTCGCCTCGTAGGCCTCGTCGAGGATCTCGTCGCCCATGAAGGCCTGGCCGCCCTGCTCTCGCCGTCGGTGTTCCACATCTCCATGTTGTGTTCTTAGTTCGTGGGACACCCTAGCGAGTGTATACTCGCCAGCCACAGCCGTATGGATGAGGTTCCGCTCGTACGTGGTCAACCCAGCATCTGCCAGCAGGTACCAAGCTTGGACGAACTCCGGCAGGATCTCGATGGTGGAAGCGGCAGCCTCCGCCTCCGAAGCTCGGTCTCGGTGCCATGTCCACGATTGATAGCCATAGCTGGGGTAGCCGCTCCAGCTGCCGTAGGAATTCCATCCCCAGGAATTCCAGGAAGCTGTTGTTGGTGCCCACGTCTCCTCGGTGGGCTCCGCTGTCGAGGTCTCGGTCTCCTCGTTCTCGGTGGCGTTGGAAGTCCAGCTCGATCGTCTGCTGGACCAGCCGTAGGTGGAGATCGGTGGCTGCCAGGAACCACCCTCCTGGCCTAGCTCTTCCCGACGGGCCTTCGGCATGACTCGTCGCAGTGCTTGGCAAGCTCGCCAATACGTTTCCGTCTTCCTCGTGATGTAGTCATTGACGCTCTCGCCTACACGGCGTTTGCTGTTCCGAAAGTACTTGTTGAGGAACTCGGTGGCCTCGGGGATTTGTGGCTTCCCGAGGCTTTGTCTCAAGTGCTGCAAGAAAACTGCTACGCCTCCATTGAAAGACACCCACGTAGCAGGCTTCCCCACAATCATACGTTGCGCCGCTCCTGTCAGTTCCCCTGCCAACCGGGGTCCACAAAGGTAACGGTTCTCGTACTTGATCCCTTGTTCCCAAACCAGCACTTGCTCTTCGTATGCCTGAAAGGTATTTGCACTGCCATCCCACGTCGGGATGCCCTCCTTGGAACGTCCCTGCGTCCCGCTCGTCATCCTGACCCGGCCACTCGCAGGGTCGGTTCGATTGAGGTCCCTGGATCGCACAGACTAAAGGAGCCGTAGCTCCGCTACCATGCAAGCGGGGGAACGTTGGAGGTAACCACGAAGTCCCAAGTCACAGCACCGTCGGTGAACAGCTTGCCTCGCCTAACCCTCTTTTGTCGCGGCTGATGGCGGCGACTCCCCTGGGTCGAAAGACTAGCTTGTCCTGGATGGTAACACAGCTTCGGAACGCAGCCAACTGAGTTCAGCAGCTGAAGAAGTGTCAATCTTATGTTGGCACTTGCAAACCCTAAACCCTAAACCCTAAGCCCTAAACCCTAAACCCTAAGCCCTAGCCCTAGTGTCTTGTTTGCGTGTGGGGGCACGGAGGTTCTCTGGTTTTGCATGGCCGAGTTAATATGGGGGGTCAGATGGATTCTTCAGGGTACCCCCTTATTAAGGGTTCCTTAGGTTCCTCAAAGGGATCTATAAGGATATCTTTCGGATTTCCATAAGGGTACTAGAAGGGTAGTTCTCTCAATTAGGTTCCCTTTTTAGGTCCCTAATATAAGATGGGTAGTTCTCTAAAATGGATCCAAAAAGGACCCTAATTTAGAGAACTACCCATATAAGCATGCCATCCAAAACCCTAGTCCAATTGTTCAGGCCTGCCTGTTGAATCCATTCTTTTTCTGCATGGCTTCATTCTGCTGTCCAGCTGAATGCAGAAGGCAATCAAGAGCACCGCTGCAAGAGCAAACAAAGCTATCCAAAATCTTTCACAACCTGCAACATTGCTGCTGAATCCAGCCCCTGGATTGCTAGTAACTCCAATCCTTGAACCCTGAATCCTATATCTAAGCTATGATTTGTGGGACTTCAGCTGCGAATCTGAAACAATCCCAAAAGTTGGGCCCTTTTCAAAGCCGCATCCCGAATGAGCCCTTCGTAGGAATCTCGTCCCAAGTTTCAGTGTCCGCACTGCGCTTCTTCCTTGTCTTGTTGCTGCCATGCTCTTACCATGTGCAGTAAGGTTCATAACCCTTACGAGAAGCTTGAACCCTAAATCGAAGTCCTACACCGATGCCCTGAAGCCTGAACCCGAAACCCTATATGTACGCCAGAAAAAGCATCATAGATCCAAAATCGACTGCTGGCAGACGTAACGAGGTGTCAACCCAACTACCATAAACCCTAGACCCTAAACCGTAGACCCTGAACCCTCCAGGTCTTCGGTGAGGGAGGTGCCGCTATCGGCCAACAGTCCATGCGCAGTGCGTCGGCGCGCTCCTGGGCGGGTGCGTGGGAGCCCCGGGTAGGAGAAAGTCAAGAGCTCTCATAGGGTTTTTTGAGCTTGTGGGTTTAGGGTTTTAAGGGTCTAGGGTTAAGGTTTTTTTGTAGGTTTAAGTTTTAAGGGTTTCGGGTTTTTGGGGGCTTAGGGTTAGGGAGTTTAGGTTCTTGAGGGTTTTGGGGCTTCGGGATTTCGGCTTCAGAGTTTAGGGTTCAGGGTTTCGGGCCTGGGGGCTTCAGGGCCTTAAGGTTTCATGGTGGCAGCGGCTCCCCCCTAATTGGGTTTAGGGTTTAGGGTTTAGGGACCCTAAACCCTAAACCCTAAACCCTAAACCCAGGGTTTAGGGTTTAGGGTTTAGGGACCAGACCTCGGACCCTTGCACCCTCCATCCTTGAAAAGCACCGGCAGGCCCTAAAGTCCGGACTCAAGGCTCTAGAGGCCCTAAACCCCGAAAACCCCAAACCCTAAGCCGAAAAGCCCTAAACCCTA